ACCAAAAAAACATAAGAAACAAAAAAGCTTAGAAACATTACCCCAAAAATAACAAAAAAATTACCAAAAAACTCCCAAAATACCAACAAAAAAAAAAAACAAAATACAAAAAACAATCACAAAATACCAAAATCACTCCAAAATACAAAAAAAAAATACAAAATACAAAAAAAAAACAAATAAAACACCCCAAAATACAAATAAAACAAACACACCAATTGCAAAAAAACACCCCAAAATAAAAAACTCCAAAATACAAAAAAAAATACCAAAAAAAAAAAAATACCAAAAAAACCCAAAAAAATACCAAAAAAAAAAACCCAAAAATACAAAAAAAAAAAAAAAAAAAAAAAAAAAAAAAAAAACAAAAAAAACACAAAATACAAAAAAAAACACAAAATACAAAAAAAAACACAAAATACAAAAAAAAAAAAACACAAAATACAAAATAAAGTCAAAATACCAAAAGAACCTCCGAAATACTAAAAAAAATGGCAAATACCAAAAATACCGCAAAATACAAAAAAGTAACAAACAAACAAACAATAACAAAAACAAAACAAAAGCTCAAAAATCTCCATTAGGCTATTTAGCCTAATCTGATAACCGGGTCTAGTACCTACCTAAGCTTAGCTCAGAATGACACAAGGCTACGATACTAGGGCTCTCTGATCATGAACGGAAACTTTAGTATTTGCAGTCTCCTATTTAACAAATGGCATTCTTTCCGACTCAAAAGAAAAATCATCTAAAATTTTAGCTTATATGTTTACATGGCCAGTATTTCAGAATGGATGGGATTGTCTCCCTTAATAATCAGTATATGAAGTCCTTTTTTTTTTCTTTTTTTTAATCTGGGATCAAACACTGATTTCACTGCGAAAGTCAATCCGTAACTATCTCAGCAAACGAGACAAATCCCAAATTATTTATCTGATGAAAACGTAATTAAAACTGAAATGGCTCAAAAGCAAATAGGAGTCAGTGAAATTTAAAATGATTCTGGTGACTAAATCATCAAATTGAATCGTACTACAAAATCAGCATTCGAAAATTTGGCTTTTACTAAATACACTGCCAGCTAACTAACTCGGTAGGTCTGAAAAGACGCTTAAAAAGTAAAACGCAACAGATTACGCGGCATTTATTTCGATTAACCACTTTACATAAAACGATAAGTTATGTAAATATAAAAACGGTTTTTGTTTGCAATAATATAAGCGACAGACGGCTATAAAAAGGCACTGACTAATGTATACGTCACGGGGCAATTATTTTAAGTAAAATGATGCACTAAAATAAGTAAGCAAGTAATCGTTTTAAGTTTTAAAAATCGGTACCAAAATAAAACGAAGAGAAAAAAGAAAAACTAATTTTTATAGAGTGTCTTCTGGCATTTATTTGTAGCAGTCAAGATTCAAGAAAAGCAAAACAAAATAAAAAAGTCACAAACATATATATATATATATATATATATATATATATATATATATATATACACACGCATAATCCGAATACCACATGGACAAACTAGAATAGTCATACACTTACTCACACAAATTATACGCACGAATGTTGCTTGAAATCAAACGCAAAAATAAAAAATATCAGAAAAAGAATATCAACATCTCATTCCCTGCTGAAGCTTTAATAGAAGCGAAACATGATAAAATTATAAACGTTTTTTTCACAGACCTATATATATAATATATTAATATATATATATATATATATATATATATATATATAAAAAATATATATAATATATATATATATATATATATATATATATATATATATATATATATATATATATATATATATATCTTCATTAAAGCATGTTTGAATAAATTGTCTGGACATACTATGTCTATTTTTATTCTTAATGCTGAGATTCAATTTATTAAGGAAGGAGCCGTAATCTTTTTCTTTTCTTTTTTATTTTTCCAAGTACTTTCAAACTTATCTTCAGGAAGGAATTGCTAAGACAAAAAATTAATGTAACTGATAGTTGTGACTTTTTTGTAAACCCGCATGAACGCGCTCTGTTATAATTATTTAAAAATTACTGTTGAAGCTATAGCGTTTTTACATGTTTTTGATCTAAGGGAGGTAACCTAATTTGTACGATTATAATTCAATTTGTTTTCAAAACATTGCTATTATAAATATTTTAAAACATTTTCTATACTCATAACTAACCTTATATAGTGTTGGTTGTTTGCTCCTTATATAGGCAACTTCGGGAATTTCAAACTTTTTTTGTTTTCATGACGTAGTATACTAGTGTTATCAACAGGTACTTTTCTGTATTGTGGGGGTAGACAAGAATGCACTATATATGAACATATATCAACATCAAGAAATCGATGAGAGAATTCAAGAGGATCACAATAAAAAGACATATAATATATCCAGATTATTCTACTAAACATGCATGAATATATTAAATATAACAGGCAATGAATGTCTATTACGTATGATGTGTTCTAATGTTTGAAATTTGCTTTCATTTAATAAAGACAAAAATTGTCCAACATTTGGATATTTTTTATTAAGTTGGTCCGAAGTGGTGATGCAGACATAAAAGAAAGATATCCACCGTCAAAGATGATATTTTGTTATTTTGACATAGAAGATTGATATGCGATGATAACGGTCGCAGAATAGCAGACGCAGATCGTAAGTTCAAGATGCAGTTCTATGACGTCATACTACGCAACAGACGGAAGTATTACAACAGAACCAATATCTAGATGCAATGTAATGTGTTGTGACTAGTTTGAAATGTTATTTTGTTGAGTGTGTATTGCTTCGTTTTAATGTAGATATATTTGTACTTAATCTGCACCTATTTATATATGAACATTAACAAGATCGGCACAAGCACAGGTTTGTAAAGATGCTGGCGGTCGTGAGAAGAGAGACAGTATGGCAAACACATAATTTGAAGACAGAAAGAAAATCAGGTCTTCCTTTTATTTGACGGAGAACCAAAGCCCGGATCGAACCTCTGCTCGAATTCATTAGAATATCCATTTTCGTGGCTATCCAATCAGAAAAGAGCGGGCCGGGTTGCTAGTGGTTATCGAATTTGCAAAAGTTATTCAAAAAGTACTGTTTGCTAGAATCATTACAGGATGTCCAAACGCTAAATCTATCCCCGAGTGGCGATGAAGGCGGAAGAGGGGGGAAAGAGTGAGGAGTGATGAGAGTTGGGGGTGACTGCCTGTTGCCAATATCATCGAACTTTGTTGTCCTAGTTGATACCGAATTTTTTTTTTTTTTTTTTTTTTTTTTAGTTACCAGCTGGCTAGACAAATTGATTATGAATGAAACTGATCGACATGATAAAAGACTAAAGAATCTGAAATCAATCAAAAGGTTGCAGGACATGTCTAAAATTGTAGCAGACAATCATATATATATATATATATACACAAATGTAATGAGAACGAAAACAATATAAATTCTAACGTTCACAGCATTAATTTAAAAGAAGGCTTAATACCAAGAGTAGAGAAATATTTATTTATTTTAATTTTTACATGAGGACAAAAACAAATTGATTACTACAAAAAAAGCATTCTTGTTTCGATGATGCTGCATCTCGACTGGTGAGAACCAAAAATGGTTACCATGGTTAGATAACCACTCTTGGTTCTCACCCGTCGAGATGCAGCCGCATCGAAACAAGAATGAATATATATATATATATATATAAGTAAGAGAGAGACGTACGTATATATGAGTACAAGAATTTGGTTACTCATGTCAGTAGAAATGATCGCTGAAAAACGTTGCACACTGGGCCACGATGTCTACAAGCAGTTCTCTAGTTATATTTTCGAGCTTAACCTGTCTAAAATAGACTCAAAGCTTAATGATTTAAACATGACACTCCCTAGAAAGACATTCTTTGAATTCAGAATTTTCCTTTTCCTAGACTGGTCGCAACTCTTGACAAGACAACCCAGCCTGCTTTGCTAATTAATACAGCTGGATGAATGCGAACCGCTAACTTTTACAAGGACATTATCGCGAAGTGAATAAAAAAAAAATCGAATGAACCGAAATTTGAACTCGGCTCGTCGAGTACATTTTCGGTGCCGAAATCAGGATTTCTGCACGTTTTATTTGCTTAATATGGTGAATAACAAAGAGTTAGATGCCAACTTACAGCGGTTAATGTTCATTACTAATAAAGCAAAATTCTCTATTGATTTTCAAAGCAAGCAATCACCTACCACTTGGGAAATTGACGAATCACAATCAGACTATTATTTTCATTTTCCCTTCCAACATTTATTCTTGTTCTTTACGAAGCTATGCTTTGTAAATATCACCATCAATGACACACACACACAAATTTATCCACACGGAGTCAAACGGACACACAGACACGGGCTATTATCGAATGTTTAAAAGCAAACTCGCTTCGGAAGCAAGTTTGATAGTGTGTGTGTTCAATCTTGAAGGAATCCTTGCGTCGGAGTAAACTAAATTGTATAGCTAGATACTAACTCCAGATTGATAGTCGGATACACGGAGAAAGCTTTTCAACTCTGTCAGCTTTCAACAAACAAATAAAAAGAACTGTGTCATTGTAGAATAGACATCCGCGAGGATGCTTCCCTGAAAACTCTACAAACTTAAACTTTTCAAGTCACCTGTACTCTCTCCTCCTTATCCTCACTTCCTGCTACATTTCCCTTTACATTCATATCACACCTGTCAGTTATAACTTTTAAACGTTAAGCCTCTACCTTGAGTGGTTCTCGAGCCTTGCACAAAGTGGTAAACAAGTACAAACTATATATGAATATAATATAGCACACATTGCGTTAACCAGATATTTTATTAAAATTGAAATTTTTTAACAGTCTCTACTCAGCACCAGAAGATATACTTTGTACATGAAACTCCGAGTCTAACTACCGGTGATGAGATTTTATATATATATATATATATATATATATATGTAGGGATGGGAAGAGGACAGAGTCGAAGATAGAGGCGATGGAGGGGGAACGACAGAGAGAGAGAGAGAGAGAGAGAAGAATGGAGGAGGAACGACACAGGGAGGTGGAGGGCGAGAGGGGGGGTGGAGGGAATGACGTGGAGAGGGAATGACACAGAGAGAGAGAGGGGTGGAGTGGGAACGACAGAGAGAGAGAGAGGGGGGGGGTGGGGGAGAGAGAGAGAGAGAGAGAGGGGGTGGAGTGGGAACGACAGAGAGAGAGGGGGGTGGAGTGGGAACGACAGAGAGAGGGGAACGACAGAGAGAGGGGTGGAGTGGGGAACGACAGAGAGAGAGAGAGAGAGAGAGAGAGGGTGGAGTGGGAACGACAGAGAGAGAGGGGTGGAGGGTGGGAACGACAGAGAGAGAGAGGGGTGGAGGGAAGACAGAGAGAGGGAGAGGTGGTGGGGAACGAGAGAGAGAGAGAGGGGTGGGTGGGAACGACAGAGAGAGAGAGAGAGGGGTGGAGGGGAACGAGAGAGAGGGGGTGGGAATGACAGAGAGAGAGAGAGAGAGGGTAGAGAAGGAAGATGAAGAGCGAAGAAAGAAAGAAAGAAAGAAAGAAAGAAAGAAAGAAAGAAATAAAGAAAGAAAGAAATGGAAATAAAGTTAAAATTAACTTTAAAAGTTTTAGGAAATGTATGTCCGGACAACCATCTTCCTGGCTAATTTAACGGTTAGCGAATCTGAAAGACAAATATGTGAGCCGAGTTCGAATTCGGGCCGAATGCGTATTCACTTAAGCATAAAAAAAATATTATTCGGGAATGTACAACATCGCTGATTGGACCCCTTGCCTTAACTTCTGCCCGAAAAAATGGATTGGCTCCATTAGTCTAACTTGCCAGTCATGCCACTGCTTCTATGAGTGATCGCTTACGGAGTTCCTCTTGGAAGCAGTGGAGAAAAAAAAAGTTCATTCCGAGCCAACAAATCGGAGAGGCTGGCCCTGCCCAGCGACGTAAGGAGAGAAAGCGATGTTCTCTGCAAGTGACACACCCGCAGACCAACGGCAGGGGTTATTTTTAGCCCGAACACACAAACACATGCAGAATGAGAAAAATGTCAGATGCCGAGGAAAAATGCGGCACGGACACACAGACAACATGTATAACAGAACCATCTGTTTTATGACGGCTTTTGTTTTAGAATATTACTTGTCCATTTCAATTATACATGCAAATTCCTTAGATAGATAGATATGAACAATCAATCTGTTCATAACTATCTGATAGATATGAACAGATGAACAGACAGATAGATAGATATGAACAGACAGATAGATAGATATGAACAGACAGATAGATAGATATGAACAGACAGATAGATAGATATGAACAGACAGATAGATAGATAGATATGAACAGACAGATAGATAGATAGATATGAACAGACAGATAGATAGATAGATATGAACAGACAGATAGATAGATATGAACAGACAGATAGGTAGATATGAACAGACAGATAGATATGAACAATCAATCTGTTCATAACTATCTGATAGATATGAACAGATAGATAGATATGAACAATCAATCTGTTCATAACTATCTGATAGATATGAACAGATAGATAGATATGAACAATCAATCTGTTCATAACTATCTGATAGATATGAACAGATAGATAGATATGAACAATCAATCTGTTCATAACTATCTGATAGATATGAACAGATAGATAGATATGAACAATCAATCTGTTCATAACTAACTATCAGATGATAGATATGAACAGATAGATAGATAGGATAGAGGATAGAACAGATAGATGAACAGATGGATAGGTAGGTAGATAGATATGAACAGATGGATAGGTAGGTAGGATAGGATAGATGAACAGATAGATAGATAGGTAGGTAGGTAGGTATGAACAGATGGATAGGTAGGTAGGTAGGTATGAACAGATGGATAGGTAGGTAGGTAGGTATGAACAGATGGATAGATAGGTAGGTAGGTATGAACAGATGGATAGATAGGTAGGTAGGTATGAACAGATGGATAGATAGGTAGGTAGGTATGAACAGATGGATAGATAGGTAGGTAGGTATGAACAGATGGATAGGTAGGTATGAACAGATGGATAGGTAGGTATGAACAGATGGATAGGTAGGTATGAACAGATGGATAGATAGGTAGGTAGGTATGAACAGATGGATAGATAGGTAGGTAGGTATGAACAGGTGGATGGATAGATATGGGTGGATGGGTGGTTAGAGAGATATTTGGATAGATAGATAATTATGTGTGTGTGTATGATTCATGTGAGTAAAAGTTTGTCACTTAGCTGATTGATGTTATTTTCAGCATCCCGCCCTCGGTGCTTCGTAGGCAAACCTGTCCGTCCACTCTTCAGGGGATATCAGCAATTTACTGCATATAGTTTTTTTTTTTTTTTTTTTTTTTTCCTTTTCACATACATTTAACATTGGTGTAAGTTTTTTTTCTGCCTTTTTTACTCTGGGTTTCACTGTCTAAATTTTACAATCAATTCTTGTGAAGAGCAGAGATAATCTATTTAAAACTCAGAGTAAAGATGAATGAACAATTGATTAGTTTTATTACAATTAAGGCCTCCTTTCTTGAGGTAGAACGCCGTTATTACAAGGATTTAAAAAAAAATCATTTCAAGCAATGTCGACAATGCCAATAAGACACAAGGGGTTACTGGGAGTGAAAGAGAATGAGAAGACTTTAGTGAGGAGAAAGGACAATAAAAAGCAGGTTTCAGGAAGACAGAAGAAGGCAATAATACCCCTAAGACGCAAGGGGTTACTGGTAGTGAAAGAGAATGAGAAGACTTTAGTGAGGAGATTCTCACCCCTTACCATCACGTTAGGAAAAAAAAAGGCAATTTTTAACACGTAAGTATTACTGACTACCAGAGTGCTCAATTTATAGTAAAGAGCTTAGCATATATATATATATATATATATATATATATATATATATATATATATATATTTAAAATCGTAGTTAAATAAAACGTATTCTAACCTAAACACCCCCACAAAATCTTTAAGTATTCAAATAGAAAAAAATGCCGTAAGAATTTTTGCCGTTAACAATAATTTTTTTTAAAAATCCAGACGACATGCATTTAACGGATGTCAGAATTCATTGAAAAATACATCCCTACCCCTGCCAAAACGTAACTAATAACTGATACATCAAAATACAGCGACAATGAACACGCAAACACCCCTTGTCTGGATGAATGGATTTCTCTGTATCCTTGGAAACGTGAATTATGAATTTTTGCAGTGTCTTTAAAACCCAGTAATTTTAAAAATAAGTTACTCCGAAATTCGCTTGTGGATGAAATGGAACTAATGTCTTTAATTTAATTACGAAATTAAATTCGAAGCTTTTAGCTTCCAATTTTGAAACATGGTTAGAACTGTGTAGCAAAAAACATTTTAAATCAGTTAATTTTAATTTATATATATATATATATATATATATATATATATATATATATATATATATATATGAGAGAGATCTTATCAATCGATTTTTATCTACTTTTAACCGACCTTCAAGGTAGATATAGATTTATATTTAATAATGATGGATGGATATATATATATATATATTAAAAAAAGAATAAGATATTAATATAGATTGATAGGTCGATAAGAGTTAGTTTGTTTAGCGACATATCAACTCCTTATGGGTCATTTAATGCCAAAATTTTAAATTCCATTTACAAAAATGTATTGCTTGTTACTTTTTCTCCAAAAATATATTGCTGGTATTTTTACTATAAAATTGTATCTTTATACTTCCATAGTCTTTTGATCCCAGTTTAGGGGTTACCTATTTGCCCATAGCTGTGACCACAACCGGTGATACCACCCTGTTTCGGATGGACCTGGGAACAGCAGCATTTACGTGGTAGTTTCACGTTCTTCAAGACCTTCCGTTCAGAGGTCTTGCGGTCGGATGTAACGACATCATACCCAGGACGAAAAGGTTGATATTCAGGCATATAATGTGCGTCTGTTTACTTTAGGATATTTACGAAAGACCAAATGAAGTAAGATCCTCAAATTGAGTATGGAAAACAATGTTTTTTTTTTCTCAAAAAATTTCGGCGGTTTTCATACGCGAGTTTTTCTGTAACCTTGTTTAATTCAAGTTGAATTGTTCCACGCACGCAGGTATATCATCCTTACATCTAAAAGAGGTCAGGGTATTGCTTACTCTAACCTTAAAAGTGAACTCTTTCTACCCTCACATCTAATTTATATATCACAAACGCGCATATAAAATACGCAAAAACAAATATTTAACGTCTAATCATACTCTGCGTAAATATCGATTACACTAACAGAACAATAGGCATTGCATTTCCGATATATGCAGATAATATTTATCAGTTCATAATTAACTTTATAATTTAGCGCTGTCATCATACTTCAAGTACTAAACATTTAAAATATATCCCAATTATTCATCTATTATACATCTCCATACATATGCTTGTGTGTAAAAAATACACATATAAAAATATGCATATTAAAATCATATATATATATATATATATATTTGTGTGTGTGTATTCTCTTAACCTCCGCTGAAGCTTTAATAAAAGTGAAACATGTTAGACTGCTATACGTTTCCTATTTGTTCCTTACTTTATCATATGTATGTAAAACAAATACGTGCATGTATAAAAATTACGTATATAAAAATGTATATAAAAAAATGTATATTAAATATATATATATATATATATATATAGTTAGTTACATTTTTAGTGCAACGGTGTAATCGATGATCCGAGTTCGAATTCCTACCTAGGCGGTTATGTTTAACCTTCGGTTACGTTAAATGTTTCGGTCCATAAAAAACATCTCATCTCCCCAACCAGCTATAGGTTAAATAGCAGGGTAGACTAGCCATTCTTAGCTTTAGTGGCAACCAGTCCAGGCGAGGACTACTCTACATTTCCATCAACAGATAAAGCAACAGGAAATCATTTCACTACCTTTCCCAAGTCATGGTTATTCACAGATAAAGAAACGGAATCTGTGGAGGGCCGTAATCGCCTACGTCGGAAAGAATATGACATAAAATTATTTACAATAAGAATTATTTAGTTACTTTAAAAAAAAAATAAAACTTAGTCTCACACAAGGTCATGATAGTTGAGCACCCAGAAGAGCACTTATTAGCTTTGCTAATAAACTGGATTATAAGATCATTTTTAGTCACATCACACGAAAATCTTTTTGGCAGTCATAACATTTGAACTCCTTCCGTTTTCTATGTCTAGGGATAACTCTTCTATAAACAGAGCAATCTAATCCGTAGATTGAATAAAGGGTTAATTGTAAAATACCCTGAAGGTTACATAGATTGACAAGCACCTGATAAAGGCCGGAGGGTACAGCGGTCGAAATGCTGTGATATCATCAAAGATGACACTAGACTGTGAAATTAACATAAATAATGGTAACTCATCCCAGAAATAATAATTACGAGTAATGTTTCTTTATTCTTCGGTTCTCGAGTTAAAAAGAAAAAGTATTTACATTATTTATATGACGAGTATTATCGTCATTTTTGTTGCTATTACAATATTTAGTATTGGTTAGTTAAGAAAAGAATAAGGCGAGGCGTCCCAAGAGATGAACAACGGAACGAGAAAAATCCACTGAACAAAGAGCTTGGTTCGAAATTCCATGAAAGTTATGCAAACAAGAAAACAACTTAAGTAGTATGAAGGGCACAAAGGTTGAAACGTTGTGATAATGAAAAAGATGAGGATAATAGTCCGGTTTTAAATAAAGTAGCAAACAAAATACAAAAAATAAAACAAACAGTAAGCAACAAAACAAAAAAACAACAACAAAAGACAACAAACGAAAGACAAAATACAAAACAATGCAAAAGACAAATTACAAAAAATCTAAAAAAAAAAACAAAAAAAAATTTAAAAAAAACAAAAAAAAAAAAAAAAAAAAAAAAAAAAACAAAAAAAAATATAAAAAAAAAACAAAAAATTATAAAAAAAACAAAAAATTGAAAAAAAAACAAAATAAGAAAAAACAAAATAAGAAAAAACAAAATAAGAAAAAACAAAATAAAAAAAAAACAAAATAAGAAAAAAACAAAATAAGAAAAAACAAAAAATAAAAAAAATAAGAAAAAAACAAAAAAAAAAAAAAATAAGAAAAACAAAAAAAAAAGAAAAAAAAAATAAGAAAAACAAAATAAAAAAACAAAATAAGAAAAAACAAAATAAGAAAAAACAAAATAAGAAAAAACAAAATAAGAAAAAACAAAATAAGAAAAAACAAAATAAGAAAAAACAAAATAAGAAAAAACAAAATAAGAAAAAACAAAATAAAAAAAAACAAAATTAAAAAAAACAAAATTAAAAAAAACAAAATTAAAAAAAAACAAAATTAAAAAAAAAAAAAAAAAAAAAAAAAAAATTAAAAAAAAACAAAATTAAAAAAAAAACAAAATTAAAAAAACAAAATTAAAAAAAACAAAATTAAAAAAAACAAAATTAAAAAAAAACAAAATTAAAAAAAAAAAATTAAAAAAAAAAAAAAAAAAAAAAAAAAAAAAAAAAAATTAAAAAAAAAAAAATTAAAAAAAAAAAAAAAAAAAAAAACAAAATTAAAAAAAAAATCAAAATTAAAAAAAAAATCAAAATTAAAAAAAAAACAAATCACACACAAAAACGTCTCAGCTGTC